TCCCTTCCTTCCTTCCCCCCCGTCCCCCCCCGACCCCTTACGGTTGGTAGGTAGGTCGACTAGTTCGTTTTCTTTACTTACTAACTACTACGACGACTACCTACCTACTCTCTCTCCTCCTCTCTCTCTCTCTCTCTCTCTCTCTCTCTCTTTTGCTTCATACTCTTTCGTATCTATTATGCAGGTCTTGTTACCTTTTCTAGTTAGGTATTGAAGTTATTTGTTTTTGCTTCGCTAAATTAGTTTGTTCTTCCGATTGATAGGAAATATATTTTTTTGTATAATTTTGTTGTTAATGGTGAGTTACTAGGAGCTTTGATTGATCGTTTTTCCAATAAAAAATGAGCATTAAAATTTATTTAGATTGGAAGCCTCAAGTTTCTGTGTCTTTTGGATTCCCAATCTGGTTTTTAATGGTAATAAGACTGTTGTTTTTGTAAGTTACTGAAAGTTTTTGGTTTTCTGATATTTTTGAGAGATTTTGCTTTAGTGCCTCTTTTGTTAACTCTTAGTATAAAATTCAAAAAATTAATTCCGATTATTCATGAATTTTCTGGTTATATTTTTGTAACCCTAGCTTTTGAACCACTTTATTTGTATTTTATAATACATGGCTGATTTATTGATAATTACCGAACTTCTCAAGTTATCCATTTCTTTTGTTTTTCAACCTTAAAATTGAAATATTTTCCAATTTCTTCATGAATTTTCTTGTTTAGATTGATAAACAGCACCTCTTGATCTATGAAGACCTCATTTTTAAGGCTCAAGGGTTCCCAACAATTCAGGCTTCGCCTTCTTTTATCCACGGTCTCTGTGACTCCAATTGTAATCGAAGAGATTCGAGTTGATGATTCATCGCCAGGACTCAAGCCACATGAGGTTTCCTTCCTCCGATTGATCGAAGAGATCTCTGATGACTGCTCCGTTGAAATCAATGAAACTGGTAATTCAATTCATGACATTTCTAATATTTTAAATTTAAGTTTATATTTTTTCATGTATTCTTAAATTTACTTAAATGACGGAAAATTGTGTGATAAGAGAGTATACCATCCACCAGTATGGTATACAGTGCACAATAGGGAAATCTACTGTCCATTATTGATGATGGACAGTGATGATCAACTGCCATCCTTGGGAACTTTCCTTAATTTTCTCCATCCATTGTTGGAATGGATGGTGGATAGCCAAAGGATGTCATGTTGTACTTTCCTTGTCTAAATGTCTCCATTTCAATTCTAATTAGCAGGGTTGGGGTTAGGGGTCGTTGTTGCATTTAGGGGGTTGGGGTTAGAGGTCGTTGTTGCATTTAGGGCTATGTTGGGGTGAGTTTATTTTATTTTTTATTTTTTTGAAAATTTCTACTCTTAATTTGGAGTTCATTTCTTTTGTCTTTCTTACTGATTTCAAACTTAGATGAATATTTTGAGCATCACAATTATCATCTGCAATAATTGTTGCTGCAAAATTTAGTATCCAAGAAATGGAGCTATGATTATGTTTTTTATTTTTTGTTGTTTGTTAGTTTACTTTTTTATCCATGGAATGTTATTACTGAAAGGACTTTCGAATTCTGTGAACTGGTCAATCTATTGTGGTACATCTATTACCTTTGTTAGTTCATTTCAAACTTTTTGGCTTAAAATTTGGGCTTTTGCTTGGTTTTTCTATCTTAGTTATCTTAATAACAGGGATAAATGCAACTGATAAATGGTAAAATCAGTAATACTTTTTCAGAAATTAGGAACAGGTGTTTTGTTTCTTTTTTATTTCATAATTCTGGGAAGATGTACTTAGGATGTTAGGCTCTAACTAAGTTATGGGGTTGAGAGTAATGTTGATAAGTATGATAACTTTCTGTTACTGGGGATTTCTGGTTTTTTGGAGGTTTTAATGTTTGTTTGTTGACTACAGGGACAAAACTGAGATATAAGCCAGGGATTTTGGTTGGCGGGAGGAACTTGGTGCATGAATGTGGGCTCAGCCGTTCAATTGGGTACTTCTTGGAGCCACTGATTGTCTTGGGGCTGTTTGGAAAAAAGGCTCTTTCAATTACTCTTAAAGGTATGTAAGTTTTCATGACCAATTAATGATGCCTATTTTAATGTATTTCAAGGTTTAAAACCTCACATTGAGGCCCAAATTATCAATTACGAGCTATGGGCAATATACTGGTACGGGGCCTTTGGGTGAATCATGCTTGTTACATCTGGTATAATGATCACTAGCATACTAGAGATCCTGATAAATAGGATGTTGTAATTCCTTGGTCGATATATGAGATTTCTTGAAGAATTTCGAATAATGAATCACAACTTAAACTAATAAGGAAAAAAACAAAAAAGTCCTGGTGGTCGTCTTGTCTTTGATGGTTTTGGGGGCTTCACTTCTTTGACTTTTCTCTCTTCTTTATGAATTTTGTGATTTTGTCCTTCTTGGGTTTTGATGGTAATGTTGGAATATCTACATAGAGCCGAATAATTAGTATGATCTATAGCCATAGCCTTTGGAATGCTAACAAGTTTCATTGAGGACCTATTTGCTGCTTCATCTGTTAGAAAACAATAGATACATCATTTAGAGGTTTTAGGAATTATGTTACAGTGGTGTGACAGTCAAGTAGGCACCATGAAGTTGTTTTGCCAAATACATGCTTTCTATTAAATATAGAATAAACTAAGTTATAGTGGGAGTTCACTTATTAAAATATATAAATTTACATTGGTGACATCTGTGGCACCATTTTCCAAATTGTACTTGTTGGAAATGCCTGGTAATCTGAATCACTTTAGGAATCAAAATTGTGGTCGGCTACAAGATTCCTATTTTCGGAATCGATGTTCGTGCAATGGGCATCGCTGGAAGCTAGATTCCTATTTTTTAGGAATCGAGAATTGACCAAAATAGAGTCGAGATTCCACCACATATGGAATCAAGATTTTGACCTCCTTGGAATTGAGATTCCTACCTCCTTGGAATCGACACACAAGGAATTCAGATTATGAAATCTTAGGAATCGAGTTTCCAACATATGTGGAACAAATATTTGCACCAGTTTGGAATTGAGATTCCGACATATTTGGAATCCAGTGTTTTGACGTATGTGGAACTGATGCCAGTTTGACATACGGAATCATATTAGTTTAGATTTGAGTTTGAACCCAACTGGCAATTGTGATTTGTAACTCTATGGAGTTAAGCATGAAGCCATAAGAAACACGTTTCCTATATCAACGACATTTCGAGTTTTATCAACTTAGAAGCTATTTAAGCAATTGAATTCAAATGTCTCTTATTAGACTTGTAGAAGGGTTCCTCAGATTTAAAGTCAATGTATTGATCATTGAACTTAGGGTCAAGCAGTTCACTAGGGAAATTATCTACAAAAAATACAAATGTTATCCCATGGATTTCTAAATTGTGATTCTAACTTCATTAGAATATAGACAAAATAGGATTTTCTTTGTGCCATGGCATTTATCATCTGTGTTGTAGTTACCAATTATTGTTTAAAGAAAAGGCAATCCATCCTAGCACTATTGGAAATGTGATTTGAGCTACTCCTAGCACTATTAGAAGCATTCGATTCAAATGAAGATTTCTTCTCCAATTACCTTTAAATGTTGGTAATCCTTCAGGAAATTGGATGCTATGTACTTCAAATTGTTTTTTGTTATTTTATTTATTTTATTTTATTATATTTTTTGCTTGCATTCACATTATGCTATTGTGGTACGGGAGAATGCAGTTTAAATATCAAACACACGCATGGATATATTATTGCATGAATTAAAAAGCAACACATGGGTAAAGAGAAATTTTGAAATCAAACAAGTATCTAATGGAGTTGAAGCAAAATTCCATGTTGATTGAATAGTAGTTCCTTGCTCCTACGCACCGAGGCATTTTAAGTTGTAAATTCTAGATTCAAAATCAAGATTCATCACGTGTAATCAGGGATAAATAGACATGGAATCAAGATTCAATAAATGTTGGAATCGAGATTCAAAAAATTTGAGACCAAGATTCCACAAATAATGGGATCGAGATTCTTAAAAAGGTATGAAATGAGATTCCTAACTTACGGAATCGAGATTCCTTAGTTCCAAGAAATGTTTTATGTGAAAATTCCTTGTCGGAATCACCGAATTACCATTCCAATCCGGAATCGCGACCTCAACAGAGACATTCGTGTAACTATGTTCCAAATTCCTAGCCTCCTTGATGGTTTGGAACTCCATAGCTCATTGCAACCTAGACCCCATTTTCTCTGGACCACAACTTCCACATACAAATTCGAATTTGACTTCAAAGGAAATTTGGGCATGGAAGGTGTTGGGGGCTATTCCTTAATTGGGAGTGAGCTGTCTTCTAGACCTTCTTAGACTTTTGGATAACTGCTATGCCTTGGAGGTGGAGAGCATGCTCTTCTTCTTGCAAGGATTGGATCTATGTGTCTCCTGATAGCTTTTGATAGAAAATGATTTCCAAAATGTAATCGATAGGTGTTTCCATGAGTCGTTTTCTCCTTGGAGGTTTTGCAGGCATTCTAGCATGGATGTTTGAGCTCTGTGAGGTACTCATGTTCGAGAGTATTCTCATGTTCATATTGAGACCAATGGATCAGCCAATTTGGGTTGGCATCCCGCTTGAACCTCAAGTGACTGTACTATCTTAATTTGGGTTTTGTATGTTGATCATGTGATTATGTTAATGCACTAATAGCGTCATGAATGAAGTGTCTTTAAAACTGAATGGTTAGCCTAACTTCCCGCCCTACCCCATGAACATGTGCGGGCATTGTATCAACTTTAATAAATGCTGCAAATATCAGAAACGAAAAGCATGTAAATTCTATGGAACGAGATCATTTTGAGCTCCCAAATTGCATTGATGGGTCCTCATCAATATTAGGTGGTTTCATGGAATATACCAGGTTGCTTCTATATTTTTAAATGACTCTATTGCTGTCTTAATATTAAAAAGAAAATATATGCATTATGTAGGGGCCGTTGTAACATTGACACTTAATGGCTTCATTTTATATTGAATTTGTAAGGGTGAGGGGTTAATGCCATGTAAATCTTGCCAATTTTCATGTGTGATGAAAGATCGATGCTGCATTGTCGCTTGTACCCAGGCACATATAGTTAAATGTGTAATACATTTATCCAAAGTGTTAGACTTGGAGATCAAAATCAAGACACATAGGCCAAAACGTCCATACAATTTTTTTTTTGAGGATGTTCACTATTACGTCTGTACAATTTATAAAAGAAAATAATAAATAATTATAAAGACTAAAAAGTGTAAGAATTTTAAAGCTATATAAATTTATTAAATATAACATATTTAAAGCTCTTTATTGAAGTTCCATCCCTTTGGGTCGTCGATGCTTCTAAAGGACAAAAAGGGGATTTGGAACTTGTTTGTATAGAATGATTGAATTTGACGTAGAAGTGGGTCCTTAGCATTGGTGGTTAGGGTGACGGGGTCACAACGTGATGTCAAGGGTTTTGTTCCCACCATCGATAACCTCTCAAATAAGAGAAAAAGAAAAAGAGTTTCTCATTGTGCATTTTGGCCAAAGTATTAGATCATATGAGAGACTAATTGAGAGCGCTTTTTTTTTTTTCTAATGAAATTGGAGACATGCACTTCGTATAGTTTCATTTAAATTAGAAAGAAAGTAATTAAAGGCTCTGAATGTAATTGGAGCCTCTCTTAGCTTTCTGTTCTTGAGCTAGAGAGAGAGGGGGGTCCTTAAATGAAACTTTGTTTATTTGTTTGTGATTGCTGTGAATGCATGGAAAACTTTGGATATCTAGGAAGGGAGGGAGGGTGGTGATGCCAAAAAAAAAAAAGATAATTCAAAATTTTAATGGTATGGTTATTTTTTTCTTAGGAATTAGGAGGTGGTGCATGAGGATAAGTTAGGTGGGAGGAGATTGTGCGTGAGGATAAGGAGGTGGTGCATGAGGATAAGTTAGGTGGGGGGAGATTGTGCGTGAGGATAAGGAGGGAGCCTTGTTGGATGTTTCCTAAATCAAAGGAAATATTATTTGAGAGAGATTTTAGGTATATTTACTTGAGAAGGAATGAGGGATAGAGATAGGGAAAACGTGGGATTGAGGAGATAAAAAAAAGGAAGATAGATAGAGAGGCGTGGGACAAAGAAATAAGAGAGAGAGAGAGAGAGAGAGAGAGAGAGAGAGAGAGAGAGAGAGAGAGTAGTCGTTACGTTTA